TACTAATATGAGCAACTACAGAGATGAATCTCAAATGTGTTGTGCTCAGTGAATGAAGCCAGACTAGAAAGCCCACAACACCATTTATTCATGATTCTGGAAAGAGAAACACCACAAGGACTCAGGGAGAGAACTTGACAAGAGATGAAAGGATTTTCTGGGGTAATGAAACTGGTTAATCTTGATCTTGGTGGAGAGTACACGATGTTATTTGTCAAAATCGATAACTAGAGACTAAAAGGGTGAATTTTACTGTTTGTAATTACCCTCAATAAATCACATTTTTACAAAAATTTGACCATGGCTCCCAGGTTTCCACTACTTTAAAAACTACATTCCACACTTGACATTCTGGGTCTTTCAAATCTTGACCCCCTTGGGGTCAATGTCATGCCACCTTGTGCTTGAACTAGATCCGTTTCTTCATCATTCTCTTAACATCCTACTTTTAGGTTTCTGGGCCTTTCTGCAAAATTGTACCTCTCCAAAAGCACATAGGACATAGAGAGTGGCATGTTCTACTCTACATCATGGGCTTCACCAAACTCCCAGTCTCTTCCAGTCTGTTACACCACTCAGGACTTGACCCCCATCTTTTCACAGTGTTCCTGGGTGTCTCCCAGTGTTATTCTGATTGCAGGTTGCTGATCAACAAGACTGCATGACATACTTACTCATCTCTACACCCATCCCTCAAATAACTGCCACCTAGCACACAGTAGGCTTTCAATGCAATGCACCCAGGAGGGTGAATGGCCACCAAGCTCCAGGGTATAGAGATTTCTGAGTTGCATCTTCAGAGGTGGGTCAGAAAGGACTCATGAAACAACATCAGTGCCAAGGGCAGTGGAGAAAGCACACAAAATGCCTAATTGCAGAGGTATAAGACACCTCCACACAGTCAAGGACACATGCATGGCCACTCTCTTGATGAAGAACTACAGGATGAGGGGTAGCAGGAGGGCCACAGAAGGTACAGCCACTAGGATGCTGTGCACAGACTTGGAAGTGAAGCCATGGAATAGTTCTTCCCTGGCCCTGCTTTTCTACCCAACTCCTCTCTCCCTCCCTCCAACCCCAGCTAGCATCACCCATACACTCTCCCTCCCTGGACTGGACAGTTAGTCCAGTGATAAAACTGGAAATTCATATGTAGCAAAATGAAATTAAACCTCTGTCTCTCACCCTGCACAAAATCAACTCAAAGTGGATCAAGAACTTAGGCACTAATGCAGAGATCCTGTACCTAATAGAAGAAAAAATAGACCCAAATTTTCACCATGTCAACCTACATTCTGACTTCCTTAATAAGACTCCTATGTGCAAGACGTAAAATCAAGAATCAATAAATGGGATGAATTCAAATTAAATACTTCTCAGCAAAGAAACAATTAATAATGTAAGCAGAGAGCCTACAGATTAGGAGAAAATCTTTACCACATGCACCTCCGATAAATCTTCAACCGCTAGGATATAAAAGACCTCCAAAAACTTACCACCAAAAAAAAATAACCCAATCAATAAATAAGCTAAGGAGCTCAACAGACACTTCACAGAAGAAATATAATTGATCACCAAATATATAAAACAGTGTTCAACATCTCTAGGAATGAGAGAAATGCAAATCAAAAGTACTCTATGGTTTCATCTTACTCCTGTCAGAATGGCAAGCACCAAAAATACAGGCAACAATAAATGTAGGTGAGGATGTGAGGGAAAAGATACACTCATACATTGCTGGAAGGATGGCAAATTGGTGCAATCACTATGGAAAGCAGTATGGAGATTCCTCGGATAATTGGGAATGGAACCACCATTTGACCCAGCTCTTTCACTCCTTGGTTTATACCCAAAGGATTTAAAATCAACATACTATAGTGACACAGCCACATCAATGTTTACAGCAGCTCAATTCACAATAGCTAGACTATGAAACCAATATAGGTGTCCCTCAATAGGTGAATAGATATAGAAAATGTGGTATGTATACTCAATGTAATATTATTCAGGTTTCAAAAAAAGTGAAATTATGGCATTTGCCAGTAATTGGTTGGAGTTCCAGAAAGTCATGCCAAATGAAATAAGCCAATCCCACAAAACCAAAGGCCAAATGTTTTCTATAATATGCAGATGCTGGTTCACAATAAGGCCAAGGCTCTAGGAAAGAATAGCATTAGCTTAGATTAGGTAGAGGAAAGTGATGGAAGGAAAGGGGAGGGGATGTGAAGATAAGAAATATAATAGAATGAAACAGACATTATTACTATATGTATATATATGACTACATGACCAAATGATTCCACAACATGTACACTCAGAAAGATGAAAAATTATATGTCATCTATGTATGATATATCAAAGTGCATAAGTGCATTCTACTGTCATGTATAACTAATTAAAACAAAAATATTAAAAATGCAATGACAGTGATAATTAAAGGGCAAAAGGCTGATATTAATTAGAGAAAATAGAGGAAGGGAATTATGGCAAAAGATTAATTGATTCTACTAAGTGTTAAGAGCTTTTAAAAAAAGGCATGGTTCAGGGGCTGAGGTTATAAATCAGTGGTACAGTGCTTATCTAGCTCGTGCAAGGCACTGGGTTCAATACTGAGCACCACACAAAAATAAATGACAAACTAAATAAAGCTATTGTGTCCAGTTACAACTAAATATAATAAAAAAAATAAAAACCATGGTTTAAATATTCATTTAGATAATTAATACAGGCAAATATGAAGAAATGCTGTCCCATTAGAGAAATATAATTGCAAGACCTTTCCAAAGACAGTCCCATGTTAAGAAAGTTACGTTCACAAGAGGTTGTGTGAAAACATGAAAATAATTATGTCACGTTGATAGAACAATAAAATAACAATATATTAATGTAATATATTATATTTATTCATATTTCAAGAAAATTTCAAAGTCGTACTTTGCAAATGGTGCCGTTAAAGCTGTGCATGAAATAAAGTATTCTATTTGGGACTGTCCTTCACTTGTGGTTCTTCCTGCTTGTGTTTGTAGTGTTCAACTCTTTAAAAAAAATAAAAATAAAAACGAATACAATTTTTTCGAAAAGCCAAAGCTGAAAATTGAAGGACTTCCTTGAAGGCATATGC